CTTCAGGGCTGGTGACAAAATTCCTGCTGACAAGCTCGGTATCGTAGGGTAGGAGTAGGTGAGGACAGGTATGATGGTGGTGTTATGCTGTTAGATGCTCCTGTGAATCACACCAGCGAGACAGAAGAAGTTTGCAGAGACCTTTCCTGGTCTCAAGTGGTTTGTACCTTTGGTGTGATGTTGCACTCACACACAGTAGCTAATGTTTCAAACAAATAGATATGTGCTCTTCTGGAGTACAGCGCTCTGGTGTAGCAGGTTTGAGGATATCATGTGGCAAACTCTTGGAAGAACACAGAGAATTAGTACCCAAGAAAACTTTGTGCTGTCAAACTGTCAGGTACACGGTAAGAAGCACGATCTCTCCCTGTGAGCACCAGTGAGATCCAGTAAGGGTGCTGAGTGATGTGTAATTGTGAACTTTGCCATTCTGCAAACCAGAAGCCTCTTTATTTTCACTGAGAAACAGGAAAAGTGAACCAAATCACACAGGTCCAGGGGTTCAATTTTACAGTCATTGTTGATGCTGTAGGCAAATAATGAAGGAAATGCAGTGCAAGTCCAGTGTATATTCTTCTCAGGTCAACAAGGTACAATGGCATAGAGGGGCTAAAGGCTTTTTATCCTTTATTTTTAAGAAGAGGAAAGATGTGACAATAGTTGCACTTACTGTGCTAAAAAGTTATGTGATAAATCACAATCCCCTTTTATAGGCAATTAATTAAGCTCCTTTGATGGGAGGATAATCTGCAGAATTCCCATGGAAGTCTGTGTGCTGGTTCTCTTGCACAAGGTGATGGCTCTGCCACCTTCCCTTTACTTGAGCCTAAGCCAGGAGGATGGGAGTGTGTATAGGGCTGGGTGCCAGGCAGACATGTGCTGTCCTCACCTCTGTCACCTTTGGGGGTGCAGAGGAAGTGCATGGAGCTGTGTGTCATCCTGCAGGGAGATTACCAGGTCACTGTGCTGAGATAGATGGGCGTTTCGCAGCTATGCTGTGGGATGGCATGTGCATGTTCCTGCTGAGCCGGGGCATTAGGATTGCCTTTCCTTCCCATTGTCCTCCTGCTGTGTAAGCTGGAGACCTTCTCAGTCTCCTTTTTTTCTAGTTATTGGTGTCAGCCTGAGATTTGCTCACCTCAGGGATGGTGGTGGTGGTGTTCAGGTGTCCTTTGGGGAAGAAGAGGGACAGCATCTTTGTCTGTGGTGAAAGTCCAGCGGCTCTGTGTGATGGTGACAGCATGTGTTATCCCACAAAGCAAAGGCGTGTCATCCCACAGCAAAGCAAGGGGCAGCACCCTTGCCTTCATCCCTCCCCATCCCAGACTGGGAGTGGGGGCTCTGTGGTAGCAGGCCACTTTCCCAGGAAAAGCATGAAGCATAGCCTCAAACACTGCCCATAATATTTTTTTCTTTTTTTTTTCCTCTTGTATAAGGGTCAGATTCGATGAAGAGTCTGGCTTCCAGCTGAAGTTGGGGTAATTTAGGAACTACTAGCTTTTTAATGTATTTTCTGCATGTCTCAGTCCCCATCTATGATGGAAGTAATGGTACTTTCTTGTTCAGAAGGCGGATGCATACACAGGCTTCTGTGGTCCTCCTAGCTTTCAGATGTAATAAGAGCATTTATTAGGGCTTGTCAGAATTGCTCCAGAATTTTTTATCTATATTTGGAATAAATGGCTCTGTTCTCAAAATGGAGCTTTCTGAGGAAACGTCAGCTTGCAACGCAGTTCTTGTTTTGTAAAGGAAAAAAACCTTGGGTTTTTTCCTATTTTTCTATTTGTGATAATAAAAACATTTGTTGAAAACAAAAATGTTTTCATGAAACGCAGTCAGTGGTGAGGCCGTTTCACACTCTGCTGGCTTATTGCCTTGTGTCCATGTTTACCTAGGCCTCTCTGCCCCATCCAGACTTTTTCCTTTTTTTTTTTTTTTAAGGACTATGCTTCCTTGGCCTCTTTATCCAGCTGTTTGGAAAGAGGAGCAGCAACCCTGAGAAACTTTTCTGTTTCTAATACATCCTTATCCACCTGAAGGTATTTGTTCCAAGGCTGAAACTGGATTGGTTTGCTACTAGGATATAAAGGTGAAAGAGGATGGCTAATGCTTGGAGGGGGCAAACATTTCTAAACCAGAGAGATTTACTTGTCCTGGTTGATTGTGCTTTTTAAATGTCTCCAAGAATTATAATGCTTTCAGAAATACCAAGGCTGACCACGTGGGCACAGGAGTGTGGATTCCAGTTGCCTGCCAGCTATTTGTTGCTATTTTCAAATGATCTGGCCAAAACTGGATAAAATCTAAGCCTTGAACACGAAGACTGTCTGGTCGTGTAGGCTCTAAGTTTTAAAAGTTTCGTTTAAAAATGGTTTTAAGGACAGTGATAAGAGGGCCTGCTGTGGTGCCAAGGGTTTCATGATGGTGGCACCTGAGCAAGCTTTGCACAAGGTGTCCTCTGCCTTCAAATTTTGGCCATTTAAAACCTAAATGGTTAAAGGAACATTATCCTTTATAATAAAACTTTATAATAAACCCCTTAGACTTGGCAGAGCAAACATGCACTAAAATGCCATCTCTGCCCTAGGAGATCTCAACCTAAAGGTGGGCTGCAGAAGACCCTGGGCTGGGAGTGGGGACAGCCAGGCACCTTCCTGCCCCTGTATCTTGGGGCGCAGCACTTCTCTGCTCTCCTGGGCACTGTCAATCTGGTTTTCTTGACTGAGCATCGTAAGATGTGAGTGGCGTGTTAGGGCAGCATTCTGCTGGTGCTGCCTGGTGAGGGTGGCCATTCCTTGGGGAGTGGGCAAATGGCATGGTTTTTTGGATTGCAAAATGTTGTCCTTTGTTTGAAACCCAAGCTCTGTGGTGCTCTGATACTGCATGAGTACTTGAAAACAAAGTCGATTATCCTTGTTTGGTAAAGAAGCTGGGCTGCATTTGAGGGAGAAAGTGAAACTGCCCCCCTCTTGCTCAGGGTCTCTCTGACCAGGCTTAGTGAAATGCAGACAGCAAATGGTGGGGGGAAAAAAAGAAAACAGTGAAAATAAAAATCAGTGAGGATGTTTTGCAAATCTTCCATTTCCAGTAGACTGAGGGAGTGCGAACAGCGTGAGGCCAGTAGTTTGTGCTTGAAAATACGGGATCCAATCCTGGTGTCAGTTACAGACGTGTAAATCACAGGCAGCACTGCTGGCAGTGATGGGGAGCTGCTGAAAGGTTGCTCCAGCTTGGGACCTGCAGGCTTTCTGGCATAGATGTGCTGATTCCTCTCATTCCTTAGCCACCCTTTTTTCCTTTCTGTCTTTGGGCATTTAAAATAACAGGAGTGCAACGTGGCTGATCCTGCTTTTGGGTTGTTTCCCAACTATCGTAGCTCAGTGGTTCCAGCTTAGGGTGACTCCTGGCTGCTGGGATGTTTTAGGTAGGACTGTCTCGCAGCTTGCTCAGCCTCTCTTTAAATCTGTTCTGCTCCAAATGATCTTTTAATTTTCTGTAATATAGCAATCTCTGGGAGAGTGGGATGCCATCCCTTCAGTACAAATTGGATCCTATTCCTTCTGTGCTGGTGTGCAGCTGGAGTGTTCTTGCCTCCTTTTCCCCCCCACTCTCCTAACTCATTTTCCCCTTCTCGTTTTAGTCACATTTAATGAACCCCAGAACAAACGTGGAAATCAAGTGTGGCAGCAAAGACACAAATGTGTCCCCTGGTCCCTAAGCCTGCTGCAGGACCTTGTGGCTCCTGCAGGGCAATGCTGTAGCACCAGGCTCTGTGCCCTGCAGCACGTAGGGGCTGCCAGGGAGTTTATGGGAGCTCATTTTCCCCCTTGGAGCTGATTGTCTGTGCTGTGGCCGGCATCAGCCTTCCTCCAGGACTAGGGCTGGACCAGGAGCTCGGAAGTTGTAAGTCCCATTATGGCTAATTTTGACACATGGGTTGTGGTGGATTTGGAAGCAGCCCCGTGCCGAGTACTATCTATGAGGGGTGTGTGCTTCCTTGAGGACTGAAACTCGCCATTCACAGCCACTGCTTTGCACCAGCACAGGATCTGGCCTCCCAAAAGGCAGCAGCCAGGCTGCTCGTAGTGGTGACTCCCTGAGCAGGTGCTGCCGCTGGCAGCAGAGCAGAGGAAACACGTCTCCAGCTTTTATTGTCTTGTGTGATCTTTTTATTAGATAACTTTGAATTGAGCAGTTTAATTTTAATGTATGAAGCCTGAGAAGCAAACACAGGGCCGGATCCTGCATGAGTCAGTGTCCCAGGGTAGAAAGAGGAGCCCATCTCCATGTGGCTGTGTTCAAGTGCGACGCTACTGATTTATATAAGCTGAATTTTAAGTCAGATTTGGACTCCAAATTGAGGGGAGTATGTAAGGGGTCCAATTTTCCAGTGTGTGAGAATGTGGAGACCTCAGATGGCTCCCTTGGTGCTGGTGGTGGCCAGAGCGCCTGAGGATCAGGGCTCTGGCAGTGGAGGAGATAACGTGAGATTTCTTAGTTTGGGAACTTTGGCCAGAAAATAACAAATATATTGGCACAGAGTGGGAAAGACATAAAAAGACGTATGTCAGAACAGGGCAGGCTTTTAAGTGGTTTTCATTTAAAATGAAAAGGTCAGATTGAATGAGGTTGGCGTCTGGGGAACTGTTCGTGCACCTGCCAATCATACAGGGGGGACCCATGTCAGTTTGTGCTGATGGCTGACTGGCTGAGAGCTTGTCTGTGCTTAAAAATTGGTGACTGGAACAGTTAAAATGACAATTTTCCTTGTGGCTGTCAGGTTGAGCCATCTGCTTCATGAAGGAATGGAACAAAGGATCCCAGCACAAGGCTGCTTTATCCCAGTTCAACTGGTGCTTGCACTTGGGCTTCAACAAGTACAGCTATACTGATTTAAAAACAATAATAATAATAATAATAATAAACAGGCTCTGAATATTGGTAACACTTTCAAGTGTAAAGGAAATTAAAAGTGAATGCAGCTTTTGAGTAGTTAGAAAAACAGTTGCCATTTAACCAGGCCGTTGTGATAACTGTAATTAGCACTTGCTGAAATTATTTTCACAGGTAAGATTTTCATTTAAATGGATTGGGGTGTCTGGTTACTTCCATTTCTACGTGACCACAGTAAAGTTATGCTTTTCTGAAAGTGCTGACTGCTGCTCTTTGAAACTTGGAGTTCTTGCAGAGGTTTTCAACTGTCCATTCCTGAAAAATCTGAACAATCTAAGAAAACTCAAGCCATAACAGATGATAGATGCTTAAATTCAGGCATTGTAAACTACTGGTTTCAGATTTAAATCTGCAAATAGGTAAAAGTGCTTTCTATATTCCCCTTGTGTGTTAAATTTATGTTTATTTTTTTCTTGAGAAATACTGGTTCTTACTGTCAACAATACAGCATCAATATTGTCAGCCAGTGGGTGAACGAACTGCTTCTGATCATTATGTCACAAGGTGATAGGGATAGCTGGTGTGGAAAGTAAAGCCAGGAAGACACAGTTCAATTAGCCAAGTCCTATCACTGATCTTGGAAACGTTTCGTGAATTAAACCTGGGAGACACAATCCTGAGCCAAGATTTTTAAACACAGGTTGGTTCCCAAGAAGTATTGTCTTACCTGGAGCTCCTGGAGGTGCTGTTGTGAGTTGAACTGAAATGGTGTTGGAACCAGAGGGGGATGTTGTTGTCTTCTGCCTTTGCAGATAAGACCGAAGGGCATTTTGCCAGGAGCCTGTGGGAAGGACCTAAATTGTATGTAACTCTACATCATTTTTAAATGAAAAGTAAACATGCAAAACCATAATATTTGCTTGTACTTGTCTCCTCATTGATGGATGAAGAAAAATTGTTCTTTGGCTGAGTTCATCAGCCAGAAAACCCTGCAGTTACTCATCTTCATCCCAAGCCTGCAGTGAATGGGAGAGGCCATTGCAATCTCCAGTTGAATTTGTCCTCATCACACCTGAGGGGAGCATTGATGGTCCTGGGAACTTTTATACCTGGCCATCCCTGTGGGGAATCAGGGCTGGGTGCCACCACAGGGACCATGGGACTGAGCTGGGACAGGGTGAAGGTCTGTGTGCTCTTGTGGTGTTGGCATAGTGGAGATCTTCCACTGCCTGGGAGAGGCAAGAGCCCTGTTGCTCTCCTGGCTGCTGTGGCAACAAGTGTGGCATGGGAGACAAGAGGTGTTGGCAGGGGCAGGAAGGCATTTTGCTGTGTGACAGGGAGGAGGGACCTGGACTGTGAGCCACAAAGACGCTTTTGTGTTTTGCTGCATGTTGGTTGTAGATTTGTGGGCTCACATGAACTCTCATGAGCAGCACAGGTACAACAAATGCAAGTCTGAACTGAGCTTTTCCATAGTTACAACAGCAAATAGCAGTAACTTTCTCTGCTGAGCTGAGATGACAGGCCAAGCCTGTGCTTGTCATGGGCTGAGATAGGGCTGTCAGAGTGACCAGCATGTGGCTGAGAGGGGATGCTGGCTGGGGGCAGGAAGGAGTGTGCGATTCAGATGCTGCTGGTCTCCGTGGGCTGCACCCTGCCACTTGTCCTGGCATGCCACGTTCAAGGTGGTGGTCACGTGGCCTGGTTGTCCCCTCTGCTCTACCTTCATCTTCTGCAGAAAGGAAAAAACAACACTGAGCTGGTCACATCAAGAAAGGGTAGTGTCTGCTTCTCAGCTACAGGAAAGAGTGAGACAGTCCCCAATGGGCAGAGCTCCTTAGAAAAAAGGCTGTGCTGAGGAGGAGGGCTGGGGGTGTAGCTCTGCTCACAGTAATGGTGAACCCCATGAGCTTCAAAACGCATTAGATGATGCCTTCTAGCTCCCTCACTGTGTCTGAGGTCAGGGAGATGAGTGATGGATTCATGCTGCTCTCTTAATTTATGCCTCATTTTGCATCTCCTTGTCCCTCCCCCTTCTTAGTGGCATTAAGAGCAGTAAAGAAGTGGTGGCTTGAGAAGGTGTGAGTTGTTGGCCAAGCTGTGGCATCTGACATTTCTAGTCATTGCTGGTTGTTAGCCCAGTTCTGGGTGGTGGGGCTTGCTTTTGGGGGTGCTGAAAGGAGTCCAGGAGTCTGAAGGCTTCTGCTTAAGAAAGCTGGGGAGGAAAATGCTATGTTTCCCATAAGTTGTGTGGGTTAAACTGCAAGTTTTGTAGACAAGCCGTCGGGAGGCCCATCCAGTGTGCATCACTTGAGTGTCTCTCTCTTTGCAGGGCTGGGAAAGAAACCCAAAGTCGTGAGTCTGGCGGAGCCCTGCGTGTTTCCAAACGCCCTGCTCTGAGTTCATCCCACCAGTAAGGCTGTGCAGCGTGAGAACTGGTACGTAAACATGATTCATAGGCACAGGGGGCAACTTCTCAGAAGGATGTCATGCCTTTTCTGACAGTGGCACCTTGTCCATGGTTCTTGAAGTTTGGAGGGGGAGTGGGATCATTGGGAAAGAGCAGACAAACTGATGGTTCCCTAGTGGTGCTTACACCCAGAGGCTTTGGTGGGGAAGGGCTCAGCAGTGAGAAGCTGTGAGTGTCCGAAAGTCATTCCAGGCTATGGTGCTGAGGCTTCAGACGTGCTCTGTTGAGTGATGCGCTGTGTCATAGCACGCACGGATGGGCGATGTGGGGGTAATGACAAATACATGCACCAGAAATGCAGATACACACACACACACACACACACACACACACACACACACACACTGCAAGTGTAGGCACGTGGAAACAAAGATGGCAATGCGTATATAGTATGTACTATACAGTGGCATATGAGAGCTTGGGGGTGTATATACCAAATGTCCGTATGTGCTATATATGGTGATAAAAGAATGCATATGCATTCATGTTCTTTTTTTTTTTCTTTCTGTCTCTTCTGTCTTTCTGTGGAGCTGTTGCAAAACTACCAGATTCAACCTCCTGGGAAGCCTTTCTGGCCAAGGTTCTACAAGCCAGCACCTGCTTTGCCTGCCTGACTTCTTTCTATATTTATTCCCCTGCACCCGGTTTTTGCCTTTGCCTGTGGAACTGTCACAAACATTTGTACTGGCTTTTGGCTGCACAGGACTTCAGCTTGCAAGTCCTAAGTCTGCTTTTGTGCATGGTGGAGAGGAGTAGGAGTTTGTGTGTGTAGTTGTGCATGTGTATGTATGAGCATCCGTGGTCCTTGCTGTCTGCATTATGTGGTCTGTGTCCCTGTGATGCTGCAGCAGTCCCTGTGTTCTGTAAACCATGCAGGTTGTTCTCTCTGCCCCTTCAAGATGTTTTTATGAATCAAATATTCTCAGTCCTCTTGCTTATGTAATGTCATTTAAATGAAATTAGCCACGCCTGACCCAGTGGCTGCTTTATAACAATCTGTACTGCTGTGCAGGAGGCTTGAGTTGGATTTTATTCCCAAGCCCCCAAGATTTCACTTCGCAGCCTTAGAACTGTGGCAAGGAAGGGGATTTGTGTTGCCATGTAGCAAGGGAGCTCCTGGTGAGGCTGTGGATGGACATAGATGTGTCTGTCCCTCTGTTTCTCTCCTCTGTGTCATTTGGGGTAGAAGGTGCTCTGCAGCAGAGGTGCTGAACAACAGCTTATGCTTTGGTACCTCTGATTAACGTAAGCACAGTAAAAAGGGAGAGGGTATAATGTCATTTCAGCTGGGAAATGGAAGGGAGATCCTAGTGCTGTCTTGGGGAATGTGAAGCTGGGGGAGTAGCTGCACTGTGGGTCTCTCATGAGCAACTGCTGCTCGGAGGAGGCACGTGCTCATTCTCGGTCCGATGGGTACAACTTGCACATATTGAAAAGCAACACTGGGCTGCCTGCCAGGAGCTGGGAAATGGCTTGTCCTCATGTGCTCAGACCCCTGAGCTCTCACCCCCTCTAACAGCTATATTTGTTTCTGACATGGGAGTCCCTCTAAGGTCACAAAAGCATTAGGCCCAGGTTTCAATCCCAAGAGCCATAAAACGTACCCTACTTGACCCCTGTGCAAATACAGAGGCAGTGTGAGCAACCCACATTCCCCTGGGTTTCATTTCCCTGTCCCCTCCTTGTGTGCCACTGCAGCCTGCATTCCTCTCCCATTCCGTAAGCCCTTTCCTCTCGCGCTGACACAGCTAATATTTCCCTGCTGGCAGGGCAGGCGAGGTGGTGGCATTTAACTGTTAGGGAGAACTTTGATCCGTTCATGCTGTAGAATCCCAGACCTGTAAGGGCTGGTGCACACCTTTGGTGGGGTTTATGCTCTTCCAGGTGTTCCCCTTCCATGCTTTGGCTCCCTTTCTTGACTTAGATAATTCTCTACTTCATTCCACTGTTTGTCCTTGCAAGAAGCAATACCTTGAGAATTGTTTTCTGCAAGGGGCTGGAAAACGGAGTCTGAATTCATAAAATTTGCACCTACCTGACCCTTCTTACCTTAGTTTTTGAGCATCTTCTTGCACAGTGACTGCAGTGCTCAGAATATCTCCTATTTCTGACCATGGAGAAAGCTCTCCTGGTAGCCCTGCTGCTAGCTGGAGCACACAGCTCTGGGGGAGGTTTTAGTGGGTTTTTTGAAAAATAATTGATCAGCTACCCATCGAGAGCTAGTCCCAACCTGCAATGCACTGAGGTTGTCCTTATGTACCACTTAGTGCCACTTGGACTGTTGGCTCTTTAAAGCTGCCTTTAGGACTACCAGTGTAATGAACGTGTGCTGGTGCTCTCTGGCAAGATTTATTTTTTTTGCAGTGATAGCAGTGTAACACTGAGTTAAATGTGGTTTGTATTCTAAAAGCAGAAAACTTTGTTGTCTTCTAAAGCAAAGGTTTACATGTTTTCTGTCATCTGTGGTAGCGGGTGCTAAACTCTTGCTGCCTGACCCCTGCTCAGTTACTGGAGGTAATTATAGAGCCTCTGTCAATGCAGCTCCTCCCGAAGCCTGGGCTTCAGCACCAGTGGAAGCCAGATGTACTATAATGTCGCTTTTTACAGTTTGTTTTGGCCATACATGGGCAGAGTCAGCTCTGGAATTCCTTCCCTATAAATTCAATAGCATCTTGTGGGTGGTGCTGGGGAATCACTCTGGTCTGGTTGGATCGCCTCGCCTCAGCAGCCTGTTCCCCTTGAAAATGTCGTGCTTTGCACATTCCTGAGAGGCTGCCTGCTCCTGGAGCGATGGCTGCGGCTACCAGGAGGCTGTTGTCCTGTGCTGGCAGGCGTAGTCACTTCCCTGCTGCCTGCAGGTCAGCCGTTGCAGCCGAGGACTGATGCTTATGGGAGCATTGGCACGGGAATATTGCTCTGGTGTGCATGCAGGCTCTGCAGGGACACATGTTTTACAAAGCACCAGCTCGATGAGCCAGATCAGGGGAGGTTTTCCTGTGCCAGGTGAGCAGCTGGTGTGGGATGTGACAGCAGGACCTCTCTGGTGTGACGGAGGGTTGAGCCTTGCCTTTTCTGATGCCAAGCTATTGGTGCTATAACCACAGCCTGAGTCTGCCTATTTACCTTCAAAGAACACTCTAAAAAGTAGTCCTATGAGTTTGCTGCTGCTGAGTTGAGATGAGAGAGAGGTTTCTTTCAAGGGGCAAAGAGCAGTGACTCCTGGAGTTGCTCCCATTGCATCTTCCCATGCATCCCTGGGAGGGAACAGAGATGCAGTGTCACCCATCGAGCCAGTAGCCTCCAAAGCATAGTTCAAGATGGTGACATGGGGCCCCATGACCAGGCTGTGTGTAGGTCAGCAAAGGCAATGTGCTCAGCTTATGCTTCAGAGGGGCAAGTCATCCTGGTGCCAAAGCCAGGGAGAGAAGGGTGATTTTTTTTTTTTTTGACATCCTTTGGAGTTTTGATCTCCATATTTGGAAATGTTTACCCATTGCTCTGATCTATTGCAAGGGAGGGGAGGTGACTCAGGGTCTGGTGGAAGCAGGATTTGAATTCCTGTAGTAAGGTTTTTTTTTTTATCCCCCCCTTTCTTGTTTTGGAAGCTTATTGTGGTCAGTTTTCGGTTCTCTCTTGCTCTTGGACCTTGTTCTAAATTTGATCTGCTCGAGAGGGAAGCGTGTTAATGAAGGAGCTTGCCTGAATGTTGGTAAGTGCATCGTTGCTGTTTTAGCAAGCAACTTGGGACTTTTTTTTTTTTTTTGTGTTGTTTAGTCAGATGGATTGCATCAAAGTGTTTGCCTTGCTGGTGGAGACAGGCGTGTGGATCACCAGTCAACAGCAAGGGACCCAATGAAACCTTCTGCAGTAGGGAAAGATGACTTAGTGGATTGGTCTCAAAGGCAAAATGTTTCTTCAGGAGTAGGTATAAAGATAATATAAGCCAGCTCCCATTCCGTCACACTCTTCCTTTTAGTTTCATTGGTTAATGCAGCAAGGCAGCAGAGCACTGTAGAGTTAAATGAGTATATATATGCATGTGGTCAGCAAGGAAAACATAGCTTATGTACGATTTCTGTCTCTTAAGCAAGAGTGTGTGTTAAAAAGGCTGCATAATGCATGGATATATTTCTCTCAAATGTTAATATTTAACTACTGTAATATGTGTAAAATGTTAATATTTAGCTACTGGATAAAGTTTCAGTGTCTGTTTTTTCCTGTTCTGTGTTTTTCTTTAGTGTGAAGTTTAGTGTGAAGTTTTTCTGATATTGTAGCTGGCTGTTTCTCTTTTTTTTCTTTTTTCACCCCCCCCGCCTTCCTTTCTCTTTCCTGAAAGGAAGCTGCAGTTCATCCAGACAGTCAGGGACGTTGGGGGGAACCTGGAAGATGCTCTGCTTCCCGTTTTGTTCATGGCAGCTAAAACCATGCCGGGAAATCTGGAGCAGAGATCCACCATCCTGCATTCCTTTTGTCATTTGGAGCATGTAACAAGCATAGAGTGCTTTTAACGCTGCTCTGGGGGTTATGTAGCTGCCACTCCTGCACCTCAAATGGTCCTTTTACTTTGAAAGGGGCATTGGTGACAACTCCTTTATAGTTCCCACTGCTGGTTAGTAATCCTTGTATCTTCTCGCTAACTGGTATTTTAGGCTGCTTCAAACCCGTTGCTATCATACTCTCTCTATTTTAAATTTAAGACCTTTGTTAGAAAGTTAAACCTCTTATTGATTTTTCTTTTGCCCTTTTAAAAAGGGATTAATACTCATTGTGAGGTTTGGTTTTTCCAGAGATGTGGATTTGTAGGAGGTCCTTGAGGTACAAAACTGTCTGGATTGTTCTGAACAGGGGAAGATAATTGGCTTAGTTTGCACGAGGATGGATGTGAGATAAAAAGCACTAGGCCCCAAAAAGTGAAGGACTGCAGTTGGGATGTGTTTAGGGTTTGTAGACTTCAGCTGTATTTTCTTT